AAATATATATTTTTTATACATAATTATTTTAAATTTATTAACAAATAAAAACCTAAATTATCATAAAAAAATTATATTTTTATATAAATTGATTCTAAATTATCTAGAAAAGTTATTATGCTCAAGTTATACTCGAATTATTATATTCGAGTTATACTCATTCACATGACATATTAAAAAAATTAATTTTTATATAAAATTATCCTAAATTCATCATAAAACTAATCATAAAATTTTACACTTTCAATTTTCTATTTTCTATATTGACTTGGTTACACTCAAAATTAAAATAAATTAAATTTGATTACCTAACCTATTTTAATATTAATAATTTATTAATTTTATATTTTTTAGGATAAATAATTATCAAAACTTATGAGAATTCTATAATAATTTGCTTCTAACAAAAATTTTACTAGTATTTATTTTTATAATGAATCTAGAATAAGTTTATATAACGATTAATATATTTTAATAGGTGTCATGAATAAGTGTAACTCTATTATAACCTAAGGTGATCTGACATGATCCAATCCAAAAGAATCTGACTCAAATCTGGACCAAAGAAGCCTGTGAATCAGTTGACTTTGAAATAGTATGATTTAAGAGTATTATTAGAATTTTTTAAAAAAAATGATGCCCCTTGATAAAAATCAAATGTAAAGGCACCTAATGCTCCTCTTAAAGCGCATTATTATGGACAAATTTTTCATAAATTATCTTCTTTTTATGTATACAATATTTAGACTTCAGTTTTTGCTGTTTAATGTTTTTAGAGCTCAGCTCATGAACAGCAGTAACACCTAATGCTAGTGGCATATTTTCATGTCCTCCGCTATCTCAAATTAATCATCTAAAAATTACATTTGATGCTACTCTATTCTAATTTAGACAGAAAAAATATCATTAATGTCTTAGTCAATCTTATGTGATCCAACCTCGGATGCATAGGATTGGCCAAGGTGTCTCTCAAGTGAGAACGTCAAGCTCTCAAAGTGTCACAAGTATAAGAGTATGGACATCAATAATTTAAGAAAATTCTCCTTTTCTTAGTGTTAGAGGTGAGTCTTTATATCCAGGTACGAAGAAAATTTGTGATTATCTTCACCGTCATAAATGACGAGAAGGAAACATATGATTATCTTCATTATTATAAATGGTAAGAAGGAAGCTTGTGATTGTTTTTTCTCATTATAAATGACGAGAATGAAGCTTATGATTATATTTCTCATCATAAATAATGAGAAGGAAGCTTATGATAATCTTTTTCGCCATAAATGGTGTAAAAGAAGCTTTATTTTCTCTTCCCTCTTTAGGCGTCATGTGGCTGTGACGTATCAAATGACAATGTATCCCCTATTATTTGTCCCCTCCCCCCTAAAGGTGTGTTTCGAGGCTTTTTTTAAAAGAGGCTCGAAGTGTGACATTTAGTTCATTCGACACGTGAGCATTCGAGATTTACTTTTGCAGGTTGGGTTGTCCCAACGGATGTGCCTTGGGTGCATTTTGTCTTATGCCTTCGTCATGGCGGATTTCTTTTTACGTAGGTCGAGTTTTTTTTACTTATGCACTTCGGGCATATTTAGCCTTGCGCCTCTATTGTGATAGATTTCTCCTTAGGTGGGCCAAATTTTCTCGACTTATATATCTTAGACATATTTTGCCTTGCACCTCAGTCATGAAGGATTTCTTCTTACACGGGTCGAGTTTTCTTGACTCATATGCCTTGGGCATATTTTATCTTATGCCTCCATCATGACTCAGTGTGAGGACTTCTCGCTCAAACATTTGTTAAGAGGGCCTGTAGGCAGACGTTTCTATGATATCAGGCTCTCTTTTTAGCACTAAAATATTTGAAAAAAATATTGTTGACATCTTAGTCAGCCCGATATGGTCCAGACCTAGATATGTAGGATTATCCAAGGTGTCTCTAACATGAGAACATCGAGCTCTCGAGGTGTCACTTGCATAAAAACAAAGTTGGGAGAGATTTCTCTAGCCCATTCGACGCTCAAATTAGTAACATGAGGTATAAGAGTGTAGAGATCAATAGTTTAAAGAAGTTTTCATTTTCTCTATATTAAAGGTGAGTTTGTATATATGGTTGTAAAGGATATGATTCATCATAAATGATAAGGGTACGAAAGAATATTGTGATTATCTTTCTTACCATAAATAACAAGAAGAAAGTTCGTAATTATTTATTTTTTTCCTAGAAGAAAGCTTATGATTATCTTTTTCAGTTAAATGATAATATCCCTGTCAATCATAAAAATTGAGGAGAATATAGAGATCTTAATGATCATATATATATATATATATATATAT